CAGTGCTTTACCTCTTCTCGGCCAGTAGACTTCCTGCGTCAAATGGAGGTCATCCACACATGAAAGAAAGCTTTGCGCCCGGTTGGATTTGGCTGAGCGCTCCTACCATGAGATATCTGGGTAGTTAAAGGCTCTCATGACAACCATACACTGGGAGCATGCGGCCTCAGCCAATTCTCTTGCAAACTCCTGGTCAAGATCTTGACTCCCACCATAGTATCCCCAGTGCCGTGTTCTCCACGGATTTTAACCCAAAGGTTCTCAAGTCCACCGTGGGTGCCAATGTCGGCTTGCAGGGATGCGTAGCTTTCCTTGATATAGAGAGCTACATCCCCGCCCCTTTTGTGCACTTGATCCCTCCTGTACAGGGTATAGCCATCTATACCTGTGGCCCAGTCATGGGTGGAGTCCCACCAGGTCTCCATTATCCCTGTGACATCATAGTTATTTGTGTTTAGCAGGAGGACAAGTTCCTTCTGTTTGTTCCCCAAGCTCCTGGCTTTTGTGTATAGGCATGCAAGTGTCCCCTTGGGGGCCTTTGCCTTGCTTACAGTTTGTTCCAGGGCTGGGGCAGGGGTGGGCTCCCTTAAGTGCCTTGGTCTGCTGGCTTTGCAAGGGTTGCTCAGTGGGCTAGCAGTGGCGGTAGTCCCCCATCCCCCGGTGGGCTTAGTTTAAAGCCCGATGCAACAGGTCAGCCAGTCTGGCTGAGAATAGCCTCCTCCCCAGCGGGGAGAGGGGAGGCCATCCCTTCCCAGCAGCTCACTGCCTCTCTCACCAAAGAGTGGGCTGTGGTCATGGAAGCCCTCCCGATGACACCAGTGCTGCAGTCTTTGGTTAACTACCTGGGTCCTCCTCTCCCTGCTCAGCCCATAGCCTGAGACTGGGAGGATTGAAGAAAACACCACCTGTGCCCCCAGACCCTTTAGCCCTGCTCCCAAATCCCTGTAGTGCATCATGACCCAGCTGGGAGCACTCTGGGCCACGTCACTGGTGCCCACATGGATGAGGAGCATGGGATAGTGGTCAGTGGGCTAGAGGAGCTTAGGGATCTTCTCCTCAGTGTCCCAGGTATGGGCTCCCGGAAAGTAGCAAACTTCCTGGGCTAACGGGTGAGGGGAGTAGATTACCCCATCAGTCCCCCTCAGGATGGAGTCTCCCACAACAAACGCTTTGCGTTTTGTCTTGGAGAGAGTGGGGGCAGTAGCTACAGTAGAGCCCGTGTTGCCTGCGGGAGCTGGCAACTTAGCAGGCTCTGCTAGGGCTGCAAGAGGTTCATACCTGTTGCAAGGCTGCAGCGGGGCAGGGGCCTTGCTGCAGTGGGCCTCGGGGCTCTTGACCACCTTGGTCCATCCCCTGGACTGGACAGAATGGGAGGTTCCTCCCTTGTCATGGAGGGAGACCTTGGTCCCAGGGGAGAAGGGCCTGGCAGTAGGAGTCTGTCTCCTGCTCACAGTCCCTAATGGCACGCAGTCTCTGGACTGTGGCCTGGAGCTCCTCCAGCTGGCGTGCCAGAGACCCCAGTAGGGAGCAGACCTCACAAAGGGAGGTGGCCATGCTCCTGGGCCCCAGAGCCTGAAAAAACGACAGGCAGACCCGACAGCTGAGAGCCAGGGGCTCCATCTGTGTGGAGCCTGGAACCATGCGCTCTGTCTGGGTGGAGGCCTCTGGGGGGCGCAGGCCCTGAGGGGACCCTCAGGGTGCAGCACTTGCCCATCAGTGTCATGCCACTGGTGGGCTGGCTACAGCGGGACTGTCTACTCTGGGCTCTCACAGGCAGGGCCTTGGGGCCCTCCCATGCACCCTTGTGTGCAAACTCCCCTGCTGGACCCAGGAGATCATGCCTGTTTTCACGGCCTGTTTGCGTGGTTCCTCAGGGGGGAGACCGCGCTCGACCTGTTCAACAGATGCTGCCTTGGCAGGGACTGTCTCACAGGGAGAGATCAACCCGATCCTGAGAGCAGAGGCTGCGGCTACAGGGACTTCTCCTCAGGAGGGCTTTGGGCCCACTGGTCTCCTCACAGCCATGATTTTGTGATTTATTCGATTCGTCTTGATCTGATTATTCTGTATTGATCTCTGGCTAACGAACTAATTTCGGTTTCGACCTTGACCACGATCCCGCATCTCGACCACTGGCTACGACATCGTAATTTTGACCTCCACATCGACTTCGGCATCTCAACGACCACCCGTTTCGTCCATTTGGACTGGCATCACGACATTCTACGTGTTACAATTCTGTTGTTCGTATCCCGATTTATGAGCTGTTGACCAGCCCTGGGACTATCGAGTTGGGCAGCCACATCTAGCTCCGGCTAGAAAGAAAGGGCTCACTCGAGAACCCCGTGGGCCAACAGACCCCTCTGTCGTTTGTACGCTCGTTAACACTGTAACTGAAAAAGCAAGATTTCCGCCTACGCTCTAAAAGCGTAAGTAAATAAATCAACTTTATTTGAAACCGCACGTGTCCCGTACTGCTCAGACTCCTTGCCGCCAATCCTGCCTGTTTCGTATCGAAACCCTCGGCCCACCGTGACCTTGGGGCCGCTGTTCCCTGAGAAGCTGTATTGAATAGTAAGTGTTATTCAGCATGAACAAATCACCAAACGTAATATTTTTTGTCATAATCTGAGGTTGCCCAGGTTTTCAGAAGCAAAAGACTACTCCTTAATTCAGTGATTCTCAGCCAGGGTGCTGTAAGATCCTTCTAAGGGTGCCATTGGGTTCTATACAATATTACCACTGTTAGGTGTGCCATGACTCACAAGATATACTCTGAGATTTCAGATAGGAATCCATTCTAAAATGTTCTGACCTGTTGTGATGTTTCTGAGTTTCTTGCAACCAAAAAAGTACTGTATCTTTCCATAGTTAAGAAACAGATGAAAGCTAAGAGCTGGCATTTTCCTAGCAGTGGCTTAAGTCTAAGGAGCAGTGCCTTGATTCTAAAAAGTTTGAGAATGACTGACTACCTCAACTAAATGCACCATCAAACCCCTGGCTTTCTATAGAAGAAATTTTGTTTAGCAATCAAAAGACCATCAAGGTGAATATTAAATCATGTACAAAAAGAACCTATTAAAATTAGTTGTCAATTCAAAGAGCAACTTTAGTCTTTGAGGAAAAACAATTGAAAATCCTTAAAGGACAGTACAAAGTAATATGTTTAATGAGTAACATACAAAGAAAACTGAAATAATATCTTTAAAAAGAGGAAAAAATCTATTAGAAAAACTTATGAAAATTAATTGTCTTGTGGTAACTCAAGTCATCCTACTGCCATGGCCAGCAAATAAATGAAGGAGAGACCTGAATGGTTTTGTATAGCTTCCAGTACAAAAGAATCTTTATCCTGATAAAGACTTGGGATTAAATTAAATATGAGGATCACAAATAATATAGTGCAAAAATCAGATTTCTCAAAACTCTTCATTAATAGAGACTGTCAGCATTTCTGTGCCAAGTTAGTGTTAGAGAACGCTGATTCCCATTATCAGCCATGCATTAGTATTATTTTCCAAATTAAGTTTGGCTAGAGACCATGTTACTCTTTGTAATTGGGCCCCTATTAGTATTAATAAACAGTGATTGCTGGCCATTCTTTCTGTGCCTCAGCTTCATCCAGTCTAAGCTACCATTATATCTTTCTGTGTCCCAAAACTCCCGTTGCTTGCTTCTTCCAGTAGGCAGTCTCTCACTTCCATTCCTTTCCTCAGGACCTGAGTTTCAACACATGTACTGGATATGTCACTGAAAAGTAAAAAGAACAATCGAATATTTGTTACTGGACCAGAAGATTTGGGAGTGTTTCCTTTTTTTTCTAGCAATGAGCATTCTTGAGGCTCTATCACAAAGAAACATAGGTACACAATTACAGTACTGTTAATACCAGTAATAAATCCTCCAGCATTTAGTTTTAAAAAAATTCCAAAATCTGTTTGATCTTCACTGGAAACGTGTCTACACTGAAAAAAATGAACATAAGCTATATTAGTTTGAATCCATTAACAGTTTGTTAAAAACTAGTTTTATCACATGCTAGCAAAAAACAAAGCAATATAAATATATGGTCTTAATGTCATCTACTCATAACATATCGCACCAAAGGCTGGAGTAACAGAACAAGTCTGAACTGATGTTGTATCCTGTAATTAAAATATTTCTTTATCTTCAGATGTGGCTTTTAAATGTTGACACGTTACTGGTGGAGTCTCTTGGAAATTCAGCTCCCAGCAATGTTTTTACATTGTTTGAAGATAGTTTGAGGTCTAATGCCAAATCATCAGGTACTTGGAATGCTGTCAAAGTTCTTTACCTTCCCTGCATTAAAAACAGAAATAAGGAGTAAGTATCTTCTCTTTTCATTTTAAGTTCTATTCCTTTGGGCCCTCCAGGCAAATTTTAAATCTAATGGAGTGAATTTTCACAGCATAGTGTTTTCAGTAATTTGTCTCTTTTAAAGCCAGTTAGAACCTCGGAGCTAAGCTCCTGCCCAACTTATTGAAAAGTTAAGGTCCAGAGTTACATTACCCTTACAACTATAATAGCTAAGTTACATTAAGGTTACAAAATGTTTTAATGCCTTTGAATATAACACTTTTCCTTTTCTTTTTAATTTTTTTTATTGAATCCAACCTATCAAATGAGATTCAACATCCAAAGTCGCACTCAATCCTTCGAAACATACACAGTCACACACATCCCCCATCAACACTATACACATACACACACATCCACTAACGCATCAAAGGTGTTTTAGTTCAAAAGTGCACTGCTGCCCTTTTCTGCATGGTGACGTGCATTTTGCCACTTATACAACTGCACACAAAGCAGCACAGTATGTGTCAACTCGCATGCAGAGCAGACTTGATTAAGTGAGTCTGCTTCAACCCACTAGATCTTTGGTGCATCACGGGATGAAAAGGTATGTATATAAATGCCTCTAGAGTCTAGACATATATGTCACACCACTTTAGATTGATTTAAACTTCCTGGACCATTTCAAAAGCACATTGGGAAAATCAAATACTATTTTGAAACAGTTCTGAGTGTCATATGTCTGGTCCTCCAGGCATCCTAAACTCTTCTAGGGAAATGGGGCTGCTTTGGAATGCAACCAAAACTCTACTTCCCAAAGACTAATTACCTACAGAGAGCAGTCTGCATGGGTGGGAAAGCAGAAAGTCTCTGTCAGTTTCACTTCCCTTTTAGGAACCCAGAGTAGAGGTCCAGGCTTAATTTAGATTGTGGGGGTGGGGTTGCCAGGTTCTGTGGGGATGGAGGAGATGGGCTTTGTGGCCCCCTATAACAGTAAACACCTTTCAGTTGTTGATTGATGTGCGGGGAAACAACCATTGCATAATGGGCACTTAATGGAACAGGATGGCTGTCATTTTCATGCTCAGTGTGAAGTGAATTAACTCATTAACTGTTAATTATTTCTTCTCTTCTGTGCTGCATTCATGCAGCTAGTCCTACCTTGCAGGTTCCACCCTGCACACACATCTCTATGTAATTGCTGACAATACAAGATAAATGGATTACTGTGGAAAATCCTCTTAAACCTGCAGCATGAGGCAGAGATTGTGGGAAGACCCAAAGCAATCAGCCTCTAGAATGAAGAAGGGACCCCTAATCACCCCCTTCTACCTCCCTTCCTCCCCCCCCCACTCCCCACAACTCACTTGGTCACCCTCTGCCCAGATACCATCACACAGAGTTTGGTAGTGTATAAGCAAGTGTATAAGCACTATAGGCTGTGCAGGCGAGGCATGCAGGGAAACTGAGGCTTGACCAGTGGGGTGGGTAAAGAGTGGTGGTGGCAGGCAGCCTAGAAGCAGGAGTTAAACACTTGGCAAGCCCTTCAATCCCTATCCCATTCCAAATGAGCAAGGATCCCCACCACCTAGGAACTGTAGCAGAGAGGTGAAATTTCAAGGTGGCTTTCCAAGGCAGGGGTTGGAAAAGCAGGAGAGTTTTAGCAGAGGTGCAGAGGAATAGAGCACCTAGCCTGCAGGAAACCACAAGCAGGGGGATACATAACACCTGGCAACCTCTCCACTCCTACCCCCTTCCCCAATCTGGGTCTTCCTCCTTGTGACCCTGTTGGGGAAAGGAGTGTGATGACCCACGTGTCTACCTGTGTCACCTCACTATGTGAAGTGTCCTTTGCTTATATTTTCTCCTGGGTCTTAGAAATGTTTTCCCAAAAAGGGAGGAAACAAAGTCCCTCTTTGTCTGCCACGATTTGATCAAAAAAAAAACAACCTGAAAAGAGAGGCTTCAATAATGGGGGATTTTCTTTTCTTCTAGAGATTCCCCTAGGTATATTTCTTGGGGCTCCACCTCCCCTACACCTCTTCCATATGCCAACTGTGATGTTAGATGGGTGGTGCTTCTCAGCACGGGATTAGTTGCATACCCTGTGGCCACCAGTCATAGGACACAAATGGTACTATCAAAATTAATCTTAATGCATCAGAGTCCTGGATGGTCCCCCTCAGGGCCATGTCTGTCTAACCAGTCTTGTATTGGTAACAGTATTGGCAGTGTTTAAGAGTCCAGTCTTAACGTAAATTCAACTCACTTATAACTCAGCCTTGGTACAGGTATACATGCTTCAAGCGCCTTTAAACATTATGTAGAAAACAAGTAACACAAACCAAAATAATCATAGTTCCACAGTGCCCTCTGGCCATCACTATATGGGGTTCACACTTGCATGTCCTCCTTAGGATGTTCCTCATTGGTCTGAGACTCTACTGTCACCTCAGTTCTTCAGGCTTACGAGCCTCATGGATGAGAACTCCTCCAACTTTTGTCTTGGCTAGCTCCCCTGTCGTACCCTAGGGCCCCATACTTTAAAGCTTGCTGGACTCAGGGGTCTCTCCCTGCTGTTTTTGCTTGGTTCAGCAGCTTGGGTTTTCGACCATGCCAGAGCAAGGGGGCTCTCTCTGCTGCTTTCATCCTACTCTGGCACCTGGCTGCATTTCTCCACCTTTGGCACCCAGCTTCTCTGTGCTTCCAGGTGTGCATTTTTTGTACATCACTCCCTGCGTGCCCTCCTCTGCACGGGGGGTGCGTACTTTTAAAATGGTGTGATGGTGCTGTGCGCCTCTCTGGCGTTTCAGCTCTGGTACCTGCAGGTGAGTTCCACACATCATCAGCCCTTCCCAGGCTAGTTTTCCTCACGAGCAGATGCTGTTTTGGGTGGGGATCACCCCTCCCTCAGAATACGGCTCACAAGCCATGTCACACAGCAACACTCCCCCTCTAGGGGAATCCTGGAAAAACTCCTAGGTACTGTTCCCTGGAAGGCATGATGACCTGGGTACTCTGCCTATCCCCTGTTGGGGTTTTGTCACCAATACAGTCTCTAAAAGGTCAGGGTTCTACTTAGAACTTCTGTCAAAGGACAATTATGAACCAGTTCCCAATCAGTGACATTCGTGGAACAGTTCCAAGTGTTATATCCGTTTGCACCCTAAGATATGACTATAGTTTTGATATATTACAAAATTAGTCAGTGTCTGTGTGTGGGATAATTATAACTTGCTTTCAACCCAATAGTGGCATTATTTCAGCTACAGTCAATCTTCTTTAGGGGTGGGGAAAGCCTTTAAAGTGAATGATGTAGACTTGTTTGTTTTAGATATGTGCAAACCTATTGGAGGTTTAATAAAGAAAATATTTGATTTCAGCAGGCTTTTACGTGTAGATATGGATAAAAGATGCTGCCAGTGTAATGTTTGGTTATGGTTTATAATAGCTTTTAATAGCCTCACTTTATATTTAACTGGTGGTGAACAAAGATGCTAAATTATATTCGTCAATGACTTCAGTATTTGCACAGCTGATGAAAGAATTTTTCACCAAAGTTGTTTCTATGATGATAGATCAGATGCAGAAATTGTTTGGGATTTGTTGTTTTTCCTTAACTCCTGGTAAGTGGTGTTTTTAAATAGGTGTGTGCACATTTCACATTTAAAATTTTAAATATATTTCCCGGAGGCACTGTGTTGATACTAAACAGTATTGTAACCCAAGGTCTTATAGACTTTACCAGAAAATATAATTTATTATAGTAATAATCTATAAAAGGTAAATGTAAATCTTTCGAAGACTTGAGGTGTTGTTTATATGCTCTTCCCAGTGATGTTTGCATAGTGATTGCACCACATATAAACAGGATATGTTCAAGGACTAAATGTTTTAAACATTCTTCTGCCTAAATTCTACAAAGAATGCTCAGACTCTGTCTGTATCATGTTCTTATTGGTGGAGGAAATTTCTGATAGTGTGATGTGATGATTATTTACAGGTATTAGTGCAGAATTGCTTGTAGATTTGCTTTTCAGCAGATTTTCATGTTTGATTCTGTCAGAAGAAAGATTTAACCACCTTGGCATATTTTACAGATAACAGCCATATTTTCTTAGTTATTCACATTGCCATCCCAGTCCTATTTTATGAGTTGTTTACAAAATCAGTAACACATTGTTTTGGTGAAATAAAGGTAAAGAGAAATGTCGGAAATGAGAAAGGAATACTCTTCTGTCAAAGGCTTCTTCCCAGGTCTTTATTCAGGAATGATGCATGTCTCTTCTTCTATAGTGGACTATCTATAGATACTTTGTTTCTAAAAATTTAATTTTCATTTGCTTTGGGGACTGTGCCATTGGCTGCCCAAGAGGTAGAGTTGTGAAGCTGGTATTCAGCTGGCAGAAACAGCTAAAAACCCTTTTGCTCTGGTTCATGGCTTAACATCAAGGGCAGGAGGGACATAGTAGTTACAGTGCCTATTTATCTTGCCTGCTTGAACGTTTGTATTGGTTGTTTTTTGTAATGGATGGGATGTAAATAGCTTTAAACAGGCCAGTCTATTTAGGGGTTGAATATCTGACAGCTTTTTAGTATTTTTTTCAGCTGCTCCATAGCTAAGAATGTTGTTTTGCTCTTATTTTTTTTACCATGGGGTACTGAAGGAATTGGCTGGTGTCATAGCAGAACCACTGGCATGGCTGTTTGAGCACTTGTGGCACTTGGGTCAGGTTCTGGAGGACTAGAAAAGGGTCAGTGGGGTTCCTATTTTCAAGAAAAGGAGGAAGGAAGATCCAAGTAATTATAAGTCAGTCAGTCTCACCTCCATCCTTGGAAACGTCTTTGAAAAGATTATGAAGAGTCATATTTATGGGAGTCCAGCAGGAAAAATAATGCAGCAGGGAAGCCAGCATGGATTTGTAGCAGATAGATCACACCTGACCAATCTGGTTTCATTTTATGACAGGGTCATAAAATGCTTAGATTCAGGAGTAGGGATAAATGTTATTTTCTTGGATTTTAGC